TTTATTGAACCAAAGCAATAATCTGTCTGGACAGAAATTCTGTCTGTGAAATTGGCTCCTAGCAGGTCCTTTTCAGAAAAGTGTAAACATGCCCTATTAGGGCTGTTACTCTGCTGTAAACTCAGGGCACTAGGATGTCATTTGTCCCTAAAGGCCACAGCTCTCTCCACCTTACTCCACTGGCATGGCCGTCCTGGCTGTCCCTGCAACCCATGCTACACTCTTGCACCCCATACTTGCAACCCTTTCCTTGTTAGGAAAAGGCACTCCCTATATCCTATGACTGTTTGAACATTTCCAGCACTTCAGAAAAGTGTTTGACTCACAAATGCCTCTATGACAGAGAAAAAAACCTTTGGAAATCTTTTCTTCACAGGCCTAGCACTGAGCAATAGTAATAGTAAGATGATGAGCTCATTTCACATAACCCTTAGAATAGTTATAAGAAGCAGGTAATGATTTTCTCCAGTACATTAAACAGGTGACTAGAAGATTGGCAATCCATTAACAGAATAACACACACAATAGCTTTCTGTGGAAGAACATTTAATTTTTATCTTTCCTGGTTTGCAAACCAAAACTTTACAAAATGCTTTTCAAACTTCAATTCTCTCTTTTAAGTTCTCATTTCTGTAATCTCTACAGCAAGATAAATATTGGTCTGCAAAGAAATATTCAAGTAGCTAAATTGGCAGAGGAGCAAAATTAAAAATTTGCTTCTTCCTTTAACTCTTATACGCTCTGTGATGGGGCTATCCATCACAAGTGAGCTATCTCAGGATTGATCACAAGTCTGGCACAATGTAATTACTGAACCAAAAGCATTGTATTATATAGCATGAAATGAAATAGCAACTTTGCCTTCCACATTATGAACCCGTTGACTAATGATGGAGTGTTGCAATTAGAAAGTATGGAAGTAACAAGACAAGGTATTTCACAGTCTACTAATGTATAGAATAAAACTACTGATAGAGTGAAGCAGGGAAATTAAAACCAATAAAACTGGAACAGAAAATAACAATGGCATTCTTAATAATCTGTAAAAGGGGAGGATGGAAGTGTCCTCTAAAGCAGGTCAAGTTTACAAGGATTATACACAGCATCTGAAAAGGACTTCTTCTGGTCTTCTGTCATCAGATTTTTTTTTTCCTAGTATGTTTTGTGATGGCTGAGAACTCTTGCATTCATTGGCATCACGTGACCTGGCATCAGGAGATTTTGCTTTAAGAGACTAGAGAGAAAACCCCAATGAGGTGTGGGCAAGAGCTCCCATTGTCCAGAGCTCCCTCCCCAACTCGCATCCATGCTGCCTGAGTGGCAAAAGGCTGATCACTGTGTCACTGCTAGAGCACCTGGGGCACCAAGCCAAGAACACGAGTGGCATAGCTAGTGCTTTGGAAACCATGGGTTTGGTACAAATTGGCAAGAAAAATCAAAAACCAAAACAAAAAAAACCAACCAACCAAACAAACAAACCCTCCCCCCCCCAAAAAAAAAAAAAAAGGGAAAAGATGAAGTACTACAAGTTGCCCCAAGCCCATGCTAAAGGCGTTCTTCGTTCCTCCTATTTCCTTGAAGTGTGCATCTTCAAATAAACTGATTATGTGGAAACAAAATAACAGATGGGAATTTATTTTAAAAATGCAATAATTTTTCTCTTGTTCTCTTTTTTTTTTTAACTTGGATTAAAATCTTTAAATAGTCCTAATACCATCTACAAACATTCTGAGGCCCATTCTGGCTTTCTGATGCAAAACAAACCCATTATCCTACAGAATAATCCAGCCTACTCATATTTCATCTTAATGTTAACTGCAAACTTCAGTAGTGTCTGAGTGATGCAGGTATTCAGACTTGATAGTGATACACAGAAAAGAAAATTAAAAAGAGAAAGAAAAGAGAAAAAAAGGAAAAGAAGAAAAGAAGAAGGAAAAAGAGAAAAGAGAAAGACAAAAGATGAATACTACTGCATGTGGTGACATTTTCTGACACAGTCTGGCTTAAATTCACTAATTAATTTCAGCGACAACAGACAAAAATTAGTCTTTCCTCCTCCCTCTTCTCCCACCTATCACTTCTGTCAAGACTCCTGACTGACAGAGAGTAGGATTTTTGAGGGTATTTTTGTGTTTGTTAAATATCAGCCCTAGGTCTGACTCCATCTCCTTGGAGCAGTCCTTGCCTTTCTGCAGGGAGCTTTTGGGGGCGAATGAGCCAGAGAGGATACTCATCACTGATGCTCTTTTGTGTCAACTGCATGAACAGTTCTGTGAAAAGGTGAAGAAATATAAATTATGGGCTTCTGTTCCCACTTGCAAGGGGGTTTTTAGAAACTCCTCCTCTCCTGGCTGATAATTCCCTCACTAGTAAAAATACCTTGAGGTGATAAGGATACAGTTGCTTATAACATCCTAACCATCCCTTTTTTATCTTATTAAACTAATATTTTATACCTTGCGTACGTGGCAGCACCTCTTTATGCACAATAAAATTAGCTCAAAATGTTCTAGAAATAACATAAGACCACTGACTCAAGGAAAGGAAGGTGTCTTTGAATCCTAGCGTGCTTTGTTAGCTGTGTCCTGTTGGGATGCTGTTCATCCTGGGCTCTCCTTGGGGACTGTATTTACAGCCTTTACCCCATGACCAGTATTGGTAGAACAGTAAGTTTATGCATATGTCCTACCTTGGGTGACATTTACAGGGTTGAAATCTTGACCTTAGGCTTCAAGGATCACAGGATCCTTAACATCAGGATAACAGGTTGGTAAATCAAGCAATTAAAGTCTAAGGGATTGCAGATTAGTATTTAAATATATGACATTTTAATTCAAATTATCACAAAATAACTGCATTTTCATTATGAAAAAAGCAAGCTATAAAATAGACATATTAAACTCTGTAATTTTCTCTAAATTTTATATTGAAACTGTATTTTCAATGATTTATCTCAATACTTAATTTCATCATTCAGTATTTTCCAAGACGTTTTCTATAAGCAAAAGATGCATCATTTCCCTAGGAGGCTGAACAGTTGTTAGGAAAAGTAATTGCTTAAATACAGCTCTATTAACATTTGGAAAACTGTTCAACTTTCTGAAACAATTAAGAATTCAGAGATGGTTCAGATTTATTTACCTATTTTTTTCCCTAAAACCTTTAATACTCTTGGGGTACAATTCTGAAGACATTAAATGTAAAACACAAATCATTATCCTAATGGATAAATGGAGTAATTAATGAAGACAGAGGTGCTGGGATCAAGCAGTAGCTCAACTATCTGTCAAAACAGGAGCCAGAATCCACATCTGCTCCTTCCCGGGAAGACGTCTTTCAGATAAGATTTTAGGAATGTTCTCTCTCTCCTGGTTTGGTCCTTCTGGTCACGACCTCTTGCAGAGCTGGCAATGTTGCCCCTCGTTCCTACTCTGACCCCATTTGGCAGTCAGAATAGTTATCTAGAAAGTTGGTCACCTCAGGGCATGCAGTCAAAAAATCCATGCTATCCCACCATCTTGGTCGATGTTTTATGCACTGGACACCTGACTAACTCTGTGATTCTGCCTCTTTTATGCTTTAAAAAGAAAAGTATTTTATCCAAATCATGGAAAGTTACTTTAATATCAATTTGCATGATGCATACCAGGGAGCTGCCAATTTCTCCCCTTATTTTGGTGTACTGCATTTGTGATGTAATGTCTTGGTAGCAGGAGGGACTACAGGGGTGGTTCCTGAGAGAAGATGCCAGAAGTTGTCCACATGTCCAACAGAGCCAATCCCTGGGGGCTCCAAGATGGACCTGCCCCAGGCCATGGCCAAGCCCACCAGTGATGGTGCTAGTGACACTGGGAAAATGTATTTAACAAGGGGAAAATGCACAGAAGCAAATGCAGCCAGAAAAGAATGACAAAAAAGCCCCAGACACCAAGGTCAGTGCACAAGGACGGGAAGGAGGTGCCATAGGTGCCGGAGCTGAGGTTCCCCTGCAGCCCATGGTGCAGACCATGCAAGACAGCTGTGCTCCAGCAGTCCATGGGGGAGCAGAGATCCACCTGCAGCCCGTGGAAGAGCCCACACTGGAGCACGTGGAAACATCTGAAGAAGGCTGTGGAGGAAGCCTGCACTGGAGCAGACTCCTGGCAGGACTGTGGAGAGAGGAGCTCACACTGGAGCAGGTTTGCTGGCAGGACTTGCGACTCTACAGGGGACCCACACTGGAGCAGCCTGTTCCTCAGGGACTGCACCCTGTAGGAACCACATCAGAACACTTCATTAAGAACTGCTGCCTATGGGAAGGACTCCTGTGACAAAAATTCATGGAGGACTGTCTCCTGTGGGAAGAACCCCACGCTGGAGGAGGGGAAGTATGAGGAGTCCTCCCCTTGAGGGAGAGGAAGAGACAGCATGTGCTGAAGTGAGTGCAGTCCCATTCCCCATCCTCCTGCACCCCTTGCAGGGAGAGGTAGAGAAAATCAGGAGCGAAGTTAACCCTGGGAAGAAGAGAATGCTGTGGGAAAGGTGGTTAAAAATTTGGTTTTATTTCTCATTACTCTACTCTTAACTGATTGATAGCAAACTAATTTCCCCAAGTCGAGCCAGTTTTACCCATGACTGTAATTGCTGAGTGATCTCTCCCTGCTCTTATCTCCACCCCTGAACCTTTTGTTATATGTCTCTCCCCTGTCCAGCTGAAGAGTGATGGAGCAATATTGGTGTGCACCTGGCATCCCACTGAGGTCAACCCACCACATTTAGGAAGAAAAAGCTCAGGGAAACTTTCCCCAGGGCATTTTTATCTAACTGGTTGGTATCTCCTTCCTTTCTCCTTTTTCCAGTAAGTCCCAGGTGATTTAAGTCCAGCTCTGAGGTGCCTCATCTTTCTGATTGACTACACAGGGAATACAGGCACCAGCAACTTGGCCGGGCTGCAGTGTCCAGCACCCAGGTTTCTCTTCAGATGTCGCCTAGCTTCTCTGTGAAGAAAGCCTCAAGAGCCATTTTGGAGTGTAGTAGTCAAATTTATTTCCACTGTAGAAGCACACTTGTTTCAGTAATAAAAAAATAATCTTTGCAGAATAAAAGTAAACCTGTAGTGGTATAAATATTATTTACTTGCACACAAATTCACCTAAGTCACTCAACATATGTTTAGACTTAGTATTCCCACAGTTCTACATTTCCAATGGAGTTAACAAGACAGTTACTGGCATGAGAGAGGTGAAGCCTGGCTCAGTTGGGATTTAAACCTATATGAAATAATAGAAAGCTTCCTTCCTTGGCTTTTTTTTTTTTTTGTTATATGACTACATTGCCTACGAAAAAAACTAACAGCCTTCAGCACTGACCATTTCTGTTTGTTTAATTAAAATATATTACACAGAGAGCCACAGAAGTCTCTTCTGGCTGCCTTGCAGCCAGACCTTGGCACTGGCCAGGCAGAACCAGCAATGAGTGTAGAAGTGTTCAAGCTCAGAGGTTCTTGGGTTGTGCTCAGTCTCCATTTCTGAGATTCCTATCACCAGCTACTGCCTTCCAAGGACAAACAAGGTCTAGCAATTTCCTTCAGAGGGTCATCAGACTCATTAGACAGCACGCCTGATCAATCAGTAAATCCCTGTCCTATGCTAACACAGGTGCTCTACTCCATGCAGCATTATTAATGGCCTGGTGATAGTGTGTACGGCCAATGTGTAACTTTGCCTAATATGAATATGTCCCAAAAAAAGAACCACCATAAAAACTCAAACCTATTTTCTGCACTCCCATTCAGTTCAAGCCATGGAACAACAGTGAACACAACTGCAATGAATTTAACTTGCACTTTAACTTCTAGATAACTCTTCAACTGTTTTTCCCCAATTATGGGGATGGAGAAAAAAAGGGGGGGAGGGAATAAAATGTAATGAATCGCTCTCATAATGACTTCGTATTCCTGTGTTCTGCCGAAATTATACTTCTTTACCATATAGGCTATTGTCAGCACTATATCCTCACAGCAAACAATGATTTATTCTGATCCTTCCTTCCTGTTAGTATAGTGACAAAAAGTACAAGGTTCAGCCTGGACTCTTCTCAAGGCCCCTGTGAGGGAAGGATACCAAACTAATACAGCACAATACTGAAGACAAGAGAACGTAACACTTAAATTCTGATACATTGAAAAGCAACTTCACACATAAGGTCATTTATGTAGGCACACTGACATATTGAGCACCATTTTTTTTTTCAGTTTAACATCAACATTCAACTCTGAACAGAAGAATGTTAAGCCTCTAGGACAGTTTCAGTATCAAGGAAAGAACTACTTCTAATTTAGAAACATCAAAACACTAACGTTGACACCTTAGCTGAGATGTTCACTGCAAGTGACCCTCTCTCTGAATTCGAAGGCGCTCCTTCTCCACTTGCAAGCGCTCCTTCTCAATCTGCAGCTTTTCTGACTCAAACTTTAGGAACTGCAGCCTCTCTTTCTCTAACTGCAAACGTTCTTTTTCAAGTTTTAACTTTTCAGTTTCTAGATCCAGAGGCTGCATGATAGGTTTTTCAGTTTGCGTGAGGTCATTTTCCAGGGCAGGTTTTTCAGCATGCAGAGTCTCTAGCCTGAGTTTCTCCCACTCTAGCTGAAGTCGCTCCTTCTCAATCTGAAGGCGCTCACGCTCCAGGTCAACGTGCCGCAACCGCTCCTTCTCAATCTGCAGGCGCTCCTTCTCCACTTGCAACCTTTCGGCTTCGATGTCCAGTCGCTGCTTCTCCAGCTCCACCTTTTGCTTCTCCAGATTTATAAGCAAGTGAGAATCTTCATAGGCTAGCCTAGCTTGAGCAGAGCTCAGATTTCCGAACTCTTCAATGTGGGGGAAGTCTGGTAGGTCATTCTCCTTTTTCGAATCTGGCAGAACTGATGACAATATTTCTTCTTCTTCCTCAATAGGAAACTGCAGAGAGGAATGTGACAGACAAGAATTACATTCCAGCCTTTAGGCCAGAACAAATTTGTTACATACAACTTGACTGAAAAGAACATACTGCATTTTTTTCATCATCTTTAAAGCAATTCAGAAGTGTTTAACTTATATGTTGTGAAATAACCATGTTACGTCAGAAGATTTTTTTTATCATTACACAGGAAGAGAAACAGGCTTTATCTGCAAGTTAATATCTGGTAACGAAAAAATAGAAAATCTTGTCAGTGAACATACAAAAACATCCAGAAAATACAGCAGAGTAGTTATTACAGATAATTTAGAACTGATAAAAAACTGGATCTAGAAGACCATATGTTGTTCTTACCTTTCATAGAGCTGAGTGACATTTATGTAAGCCACCAGGCATTTGTTGTGACTAATTATTTATCAGAGCAGATGGATCCATAGGGTATGTGTTATGTAAGCTAGCCTAACCTTCAATAACTCGGGCTATTCCATTTCTAAAAAACATTTAACACTGACAGTTTTCACACGTTCCTAACTCTTCCAACTCTATTAAGTGGGTCAACAAGCAGGACTTGTTTAAACATTTTTTATTATCACATTTTCTGTAAAGCTATTTGTGACACATGATGAGGTGGTCAGGACCACTGCTCTCAGCAGACTGTAACATTTTGTGTAGTATCACAGCCCTTACAAATTCACAGCACAAAAGAGATAAATTGTCTCCCAATATGTAAGCTGCAAGAGAAAGGCAAACTGAGGAAGGCAAGTGCTCAGAAAAACCTTAGGACTAAGAGAGCCACTGCCAGTCCTCTAGCATTAGAGAAGACACACACTGCTCTTCAGCACTGTCTGCCAGCAGTTCTCACTACCATCTAACAGCTTACACTGGTTTGCTCCCAGCATACATATCAATGGAGTTAAGACAGGAGCTGCCTCCCCACTCCTTCCACTTAAAAAAAAACAACAACAAAAAACAAAAAATCTCCTTAAAAAAAAAAAAAAAACAAACAAAAAAAAACCCCCAAAAACCAAAAAATCTCCCCCCAAAAAACCCAAAGCAATAAAATACCCCACACAAAATTGTTTCAGTACCCCTTTTGGAAAACAGAACTATGTGTTCAAAGAAGAACAGCAAAACTATCCCAACATTTGACTGCACTCCAGCTGGTTGCCTATCCCAGGACAGTCACAGTACTACTAGGAGTATCAACTTGTCTATAGAATCCACTACTGCTTGCCAAATTCACAAGAAAATTCTGACAGAGAGAAAAGGCTGACTGACTAATTAAAGTAATGTTTTCGTCTCCTGTAGGTTCATTTCAAGAAATGCAAGCAGTATCATATTTCTTTCTGTATCATATTTCTTTCTGCATTCTATTTCTTTTTGTACCTGCAGGTAACATTTACTTTCATTTGTTAAAGATGAGCACTTCTCATTCACCTATCCAGGCACTCTGAATACTAAAATGACCAGTTCCTTCAACAATGTATTTTCCTTGCATTGACTCAACTAATTCTTATCTGTGGCACAGACAAATGGAAAATCCATGTGCAAAGATGTACTCAAAGTTCAGGGATATCAGATCAGTAATCAACATCAAGACCCTACAAACAATTCCAAGTTGCTAGATTTTAATATCATGTCTCGGAATTATATTTATTTCTACTGTTTAATTCACACATTCAGAAGAAAACAGAAACAGATGCTATGAAGAAACACAGTAAAAAGCCTTATGCTGAAATGAAGCAAAGGCCATATTGCATACAGATCATGTATATCAGTCACTCACTTCAAAATTCTGCGGGTCTTCCTCTTCCTCTTCTACTTTGATTTCTGTTAAAGATCCACCAGCTTCTCTGAAGTCAGTGATATTTTGCCACTCAAAACTAGATTCAATTGCAAATCCCATTTTCTCATCCATGTCTTCATTGAGAGAGTCATCTAAATTGGATGAAGGAAGGTGAAACCCAGCACCTACTACCTTGATGTTTGCATTCAGACGTTTTCTCTTCATGAGTGCTCTCCAGTCAAGGTATCGCCTTTTCACTTCTGTCCCTGTTCTCTGCTCTCCTTCACCTACAGCATTGACACACTCTGCTATTTCCTCCCAAGCTTTCCGTTTCATCTCATTAATTGTTGTATTAAGTTGCTTTGAAAAGAGTACTTCTCTCCTTTTTCTGATTTCCTTAAGGAGAGTTTGAGTTTCCTGAACACTAAAATTGCTTTTTCTTTTTCTTTTTAACTGTTTCATTTTTTCCAGGCTTAACCTAGAAATTTCACCACAGCAGACTACAGAGATGATCTGACACTAATCAGCTACTAATACAAATAAATTTAAAAGCAAATGAAAGCAGAGCTCAGTTCTCATGAAGTAAATTTTCTCTTCACTTTGTTGTATTTTTCTATTTGTCAGGCTTCCTAAGAGAAAAAGAGCAAACAAGATAAATCTCCAAGGTATACACCAGATATTTTCATTTAACAACTTGACTCCTAAGTCATCATTTAAGGAATGCATATTTTGAACTAACTGTTTATTTGATAAAGGAAAACCATTTTGTTAAACTTTCAATACACAGTAGTCATAGATACTTCCTCTAATCTATAAATTATAAACCATGGATATATTAATACATCCATGTCACAAACTCTTAAGGTTGATTTGGTATTTCCATCACAAAAGTACAGATATTTTCTTTCAGTTCTTAAGAGTTTTGTCAGTCAGGATTTCCTTAAGACTGAAATTTGACACACACATTTCAGTTTGAATGCTCTATTTACAAAAGAAGCTGAAATTGTTGTATCATTACTTTAAAAACATGAAATGTTGAGGGGACTGAAATTTCTGAGACACATTTTAAATAAGAAACCATTTTCATTTTTTAAAAAGTAAATTAACATGAAAAGTTGACATTTTTGAGGCTCTCCTAACTTAACATAATCATAAATAAAAGAACTGAAGCAATCCTGTTGAATGTCATAAAATAACTACTAGTTCAAACAAAAGTCATTCATTAGAGACATTTTAACAGAAAATAGATTTAAGTCACTATATGCCCATGGTAAAACCCTCCCATGTCCTTCTCAGGCTGCTGAACATCTCATGTCAGATACCATGGCAGCTTTACAGCTCATCCAGTGCTCTACCCTCAGCACCAGCTGGTCCCATGCCTGATGCTGAAGAGAGCATAAACCCCACTAATTCACCTGACAGACATCTCTGCAGAGAAGTGGAGAGTGAGGGGATTATTAACACAGTAATGAATATTATTACTGCATTAATAACAGATCACATTACCCAAAAAAACCCAAAACCAAAAGAACCCACCAAATCCTGGAAGCAAAGACTAAGAATCAAAAATAGTTCTTGGTCATAGAATGCTTGGCAATAGGTTCAATTTAGGATTATTTTGAACAGTCTTTTTGTTACCTACCACTGCAGGTAGCTTTAAAAGTCAAGTAGTCCAGGGATTCAATGTACACTACAGGCAGCTTCAAGCTGCTGTGTGTTCACTGTTCATGCAGTAGAAACACTGGTTCACCTGAAGGGAAATGGCTTCCAGATTATAGATTCAATTGTTACTAACTAATGGACTCAATTCTTAAATAACTCCCTCCCAGCTATACAGGATTCTTAAATTACCAACTATTTTTCCTCCTATTGTTCTCCCTAAACTTGATTAAAGCATAGATATCAGCACACTGCACTACAACTCCCCACTTGGGGAATAAGGCCTAGTAGTTTAGACATTGTTCTTCATCTCCGATATACTACTGACTGTAAATAAAAGGCTCACTTGCAGTTTTCCACATCCATGTTTTCTTTCATAGCCAACAAACACAGAAAAACAAACAAAACATAAACAGGGTTTCCAAATACAATTCCACATCAACATGGAAAATGCTGACAGGTAAGCTTTCTCCTTAGCTCTGGAGAGGGCTGAGAGTTAAAGCATGCAAATGTCAGGCCACCCTCTGGGCCAGCTCACTACTCCTTGCACCGTGCCCTGCATCACCTGACTGATGTCCCCAGCCTCGCTTTGTTAAGGGTCTAATCTCAGTTTTGGATTTTATGCCATAAGCCAAGGACATAACCTTTAAGAACTGCAATACTAACTTGGAAACTATTAGCATCCAATTCCTTTACTAGGTGAAGTTTTCTTTTAGACTTTGAAATAAAAGTTTTGCTAGAACACATCTGACACAAGCCCAACTTTCCCAGGGAAACATCAGCAAAACCTATACATTTTAAAACTCATGACTATCAACATCCAATTGGTAAGGATATCCTGCCTCTTTAACTCTTTCCTTTTTGAAAGTACATTGCTTTGTTAAGGACAATTCCTTTCTAATTAATATAAATGGAGTTAGTGAATTGTCTTAACAATATATTTATTCCCAAAGCTGGCTCTGTGTACCTATCTGATATATTAATTAAAAAACATTATTATCTAACAAAAGCTGAGGTTTGGGATAGTCAGTTCTTAGCCATTGCCAGATGGTCTCCAGGATATTATTCTTTAATGAGGAGCTGTTACAGACTCAAAGTACCTAAGGGATGGGAATGTAAATATGCTAGGATTTGTACACCTAGGTAGCTACAGGAAAAAAACCTAATATTCCAAACCTCAGCAGCTGGGATAGCACTAATGTTCATCCTAGTAGCTGGGACAACGCTGTGTTTTGGATTAGTGTGCCAATAATGTTGGCAACACACCAATGTGTTGGCTGTGCTTAAGCAGTGCTTACTTTAAACCAAGAACTTTTCAGTTTCCCGTGCTCTGCCAGCGAGGAGGTGCACAAGAAGCTGGGGAGAACCGCAATGCAAAATGCATGCTTTGACAGTTTGGGTAGAAACGTGAAGTGCTGGCTAAAAAACCCCAATTCTGATACATCATAAAGATTCAAGGTCTTCCAAAAAAGATGGCAACGTGGAGCTCTGATTTTGGGCCTGTCAGGCCGAAAGCAACCTGTCATCAAGAAGGGTGTCATCACTGCACAAAAGAAATACAAACTGTTGGGGTTGGAAAGAAACAAGTACTGTAAAACTAAGCTGGACACTGGATAAACAGACAGAATATGCATACACTGAATACCTTTGGCATAAAGACAGAAGCATCCTCATTCTGCCTCTGTCTTTTCTGTCTCTTTTGTGCACACTTTATTGTCTGACCACACCTTGGACCAAGAAAAAAATATTAGCAAATGTACTGAACAAACAACGAAGCAAACAAAAAGATCCATGCATTCACCAGGAGTGGAAGACTGTTGCTAGCATCAAACTTGAATTTTACAAAAATCATTACTTTTACAAAAGATGATGTTTTGATTTTATTTTTTTTTAAACTTTTAGGGCTTATGCTTGAATAAAGAAAACCATTCAAATTACAAGGACTACTATCTCTAAGTTTTGTTACACAAAATTTGAGTATCTTCTGCCTAAGGCTTTCTACAAAACTTTTTTGTGATTCCTAACAGATAGCTACATTGGCTTGGAGCAACTTATGCTTTTGTACAAAGGTTTTTAGTACAGGAGGATCAGGGCACTGCACAGCACATCACCCAACAAGCCCTGCAAGAAGCCCGCGGTTTACACGAAACGTGTGAAAGACGAAAAAGCAGGCACAGAAGGGAACCAGCAGCAACTAAAAGGATAATTCAGCGAAGCAGGGAGGAAGCGCGGAAGGTGGGAAGCAGCTCAGGCAACTGAAGGCACAGACTGACGGGGCCGGAGCGCCCTGCCCGTGTCGAGGCGCGGTGCAGGGAGGCGCCAGGGCGGCACGGCCGCGGCCGGGCTCAGCGCGGTGCCACCCGAGCGCTGCACGGAAACCAACCAGGCGGCAACAAAGGGAGGCGGGGGCACGGCCGGCTGCCCGGCCAGCACAGCCCGAGGCCCGCGGAGCAGATGGGCCCGTGGGCCCGCTGCAAGACAGGGCCTCCCCGGCCGGCGGGGCCCTGCGACTCTCCCGGGAGAAGGAGGAATAGGAACGGGGGCTCCCCGTGGAGAGATAAGACGGAGGGCAATCGCCTCATCAGCCCAGGGGCCGAGGGCGGGGAGCCCCACCGCTGTACCCCCGCGGGGGCGGCGGGGGCGGCCCCCAGGCCGCGGGGGAGCGGCCGCCCCATCCCCGGGCCGGTCCCGCCGCCGCCCCGCCCGGTCCCCGGGGGCCGCGCGCGCGACTCACCTGCGCCCGGCGCTCCCCTCCGGGCCGCCGGCCCTTTAACGGCCACCGCCCTCCCATTGGGCGAGCTGCCTGCCTGTCACTCTTCTCCGCTCGCCTATTGGTGCTCCGCGTCGGCCGCTTCCCCCGCCCCGCCCTGCCGCGCCAGGCGGGCCGGAATCCCCACCGCTCCTCCGCCGGCGGGGCCGCGCCGCGCGCAGCCATTGGCTGTAACCGCCGCTTGTCTTCCCCAAGCCTGCCGGTGATTGGCTGCGGGCTGTGGCGGCCCGCCCCCTCAGCGAGGGGCCCTCCGCGGGGTGGGTGTGGTGCTGCCGCTTCGCCGGAGGGCGCGGGGTGGGGCTCAGAGCCTCTTGGCGGCGGCCTGCGAGGGAGGGAGCGAGGGAGGAGCTGGGGCAGCCGAACCGTGCGGGTTAACGGTGCGGGTAACCGTGCATAAGCCCCCGGTGTGGCCCCCAGGTTCATGATGCTGCTGCCCAGAGCGAGCGCGCGGCAGCCGGCTGTTCGTCCTGAACTTGGCGGTTTGTGATTGAAATGGAGAAATGATGTCTATCACGTCCTGTGATGAAAGAAATGAAAGTGTTTTCCGGGAAGTGCTGCACCACGCCGTTGGTGTGAGTAAATATATACACAAAGGGCTCTCCTGGAGCTTTCGGGCGTGGGGCTCCTCGCCCCCTCCGCCACACACGATGTGTCTGGTCCTTGCCTTCCGTGCAAAGAGCCCAAATTCTTCCACTGGATGGGTAGATGTTTGATTAATACAGCTTTAAGGGATCATAACTGCAATGAAACTACAATTCTCCCTAAAAATTGTATTTTCCAGTTCCAGCCTAACTATTCATAACTATTAAGTTATCTGTTTGCTAACAGGTAAATAGTTTTGCTGCCATACTTGTCCACTGTGTACTGAAAATCCAGTTAAAAAGGAAAATGATGAGTAGTGTAGCAAGACCATGCCACACTGCTGCCATATATAATACTGGGATATTTCTTACTGAGAGCCATACACGAACTTGGCTTCCCTTTACATTATTACCGATATTTTAACTGGCAATTTTCTGGTGCTCAGAAAACAAAATCAAGCACACCGTAAAGGTTTTGCAAGCTACTTCAACCTAGATTCAGGTGCAAGTAGGTGGAGAAAAATGATGGAAAGGGGAGGTCATTAACAGTGTGATCCTCTGCTAGTCTACAAAAATTAGTCCTAATTATACCTACTCTTTTTATTGTGAAGGACAAACCCACGAAATATTATTAGTATCCATTACAATAATTTTAACTAGGAATCATATGATTTCCCAGAGTAGCTATGTACATAAACCTAAATAACTCTACTTTCTCCCAGAACTGTTATTATGCAGGCAGTGGATCATTTGTGAAAAATCCTGGTGTATACCAGCTTCCTCCAACAAAAATCCTTGGACCTCCTTCATTTATGTGAACTGTCTTGAATTTATGTGTAATGTATGTGTATTTTAATCATTAAATCCAGATTCTTTCTTCCTTGCTTTTGATGACAGGAAGAAAATCCCTACCATATGGTCTACTTCAGATGCAAACTGTTTAAGTCCATGGTAAATTCCCTGGATTTGTAGAACATCCATATACAGTTTCCTTTTGATAGTGCACAGGGTTATACAATTTAAGCTCTCAGATTTGGTCTGTGAATCCTTTCATTGTTCAATATAAGCTTTTAACATTGTGAATGCTGCTGGAATGCTTTGTACATGTCTCCAAAAGGCTTTTGCTAGCTGAAGGGCTTTTGGGGCACAGGTCTTGGAGTGTTGGAAAACTAATTTGTATTGCTGTAACTCCAATCTACCTATAGAGGAATCCCGGGGTTACAGAATTTTGAGTTTTGGAAGGGTACAGGACAACGCTGGGCTCCGTCACTTTGTATTGATGCCATTTCTGCAAGCCTTGGCATGCAAATTTTGGACTCTGTAGCTTTTATCTCTTTCTATATAAAGCTCCTTCTGCTAGTATGGCAGGTCCATTTCAGTAACAATAAACACCCAATCATTTACAATACTTAAACTGCTAAAAAACCCTGTATATCAATCTGATTTAATTTTTAAAAATTATACCAATTTAAGTAAGTACCTTACAATGGTAAACTTGAGAACTTTCAGCAGACAATTAAAATTAGCATGGAAACAGTAATTCAGTATGCAAAGGAAATACAAATACAAGGTCCAAGGATAATTATAAACCCCCCTCATCCATACTAACTGCATTCTTGGTTATGGCATTCAAAATGTTCTCCAATTGAAAAAAAAAAAAACAACCTACAAACCAACCCCAAAATCCCCCCTCATCCATACTAACTGCATTCTTGGTTATGGCATTCAAAATGTTCTCCAATTGAAAAAAAAAACAAACCAACAAACCAACCCCAAAAGAGATTACCTGCATTAGAAACACTGTAGAGTCTCTGCAGTTTAAAACTCACTGGAAAAAAAAAGAAAAAAAAAAAAGGAAAAAAAAAGACCCAAGAAGGATTCAGTTGCTCAGTGCTTTATTTCACAAAAGAATGAACATCTCAGCAAATGTGTAGTATCGTACTTTCCACATATCAGCAGAGCCCAGGCAGCAGCGAAATGTTACTGTTCTCTATGCTTTACTGGGTGTTAGAAGGAAAAAAGTAAATTGAGCATAATGTTCAACTGTAAATATTGTCAAATACATCCCTGCTTTCAGTCTGTTTTAATTAAAATAGATCTTATGCTGCCTCCTGTTGGTCACCTACAAACAGAAACATCTAAAATTAATCTCCACATTAGGAACTGCAGTCTGCACATTCTATAGCCTATACCTTACCTACTGCCCTATACTAACCAGAGGAGGTAAACAGTTTTCTTCACATTTTTCATAAATAAATCTGACCCAGAAAATCTACTCCATTTTGTGAATATAACGAATTTTTAACAGCAGTAAACTGACTTATTACAAATGTATTTAAAATATAGAAAACAAATTAATTAGTCCTTAAATAATAATCATCAGGTCTGTGCAAACATAATCAATAAAACACCTGAATAATTGATATTTATTATAACAACTAAACCAGTATGATAACATTACCAAAGTGCCATAACGTATTGATAGCATTCTTTAAAAATTAAGATTATCCAATATAATCATCACTGGATATTAAAATCCCACATACAATATATATTATCTTTGTGTATATTATACTGGTCATGCTTATAATGTATTTTGTGACATAAAATAGAATACTATTAGAAATGTTTTGGTTACATCATTTAAGTGCAAATAGTAGATTATAATTTTACATGCATTTTGTATGTTTAAACATCACTCTGTTTCAGTGAGAACATACATAATCGTTAATCTAGTTACTATTTGTAGAGGAAGGTACTTTTTCATAAAGCTTTGATTCAAAGAGCTTTGAAAAGTCATAAAAGATATTAGAAAACTCACTTTGCATTAATTTTGTGACTTTTGTTTTTAATTGCATAAATGCTCTGTAGACTGAAAAATGTTTCATCCAGACTACAACAGTTACTCATGCAAGTAATTTTTTTTTGTGTCGTTCACTGAGATTTATTACATCTTTAGCAATTAATCACTGGGTTTGGAACATAGATCCTTTCTCCTATGATAAAGCCTTGTTTTTAAACATGACTTTCTAACACTTCTGCTTCTTCTGCATTCCGTTCTGCTACCAGATTTAATGCTTTGTATGTGGAAATGTGGCATATGATCCTTTTTCCTTCTGTGAGAGCTGTAGGACAGGTTTACCTGCCTACCTGCAGAAAATCAGTACCATTTGACAATAACTCTTCTGTAAGCAATGCTAGAAAGTAACTGACATTACTACATTATTTCCTGATCACTGAGTAAGAGCTCAACTCCCTGTGAAATCTATGAATGATTTGTCAAACTGGGAACTGACATTAGTTCCTGCACAAGTATAGTGTAGAATATTAAAGAAGCATGTCTATTTTCTCAATTCAGCTTCAGTCAGTTTTCACTGTCTATAATTCCTCTGTACTGAGGAATTTCTCACATACGTCACTGCTCTGTCTGATGTCAGATGCCAGAGTCTTATAGCAAGTAGCTGGGTGGAAGACTGCCAAAAAGATCTGCTGTAGGGAAAAACTTAGAGGAAAGAGCATCACCTGAATGACTCTCTCGCTTGCTGTTTATGTGACCCAGCAATCTGGCCATGACAGTGGCAATTAAAACACCCTTGCAATTCTCTAGTCTCTTCCAATTTGCATAGCTATTTTTACCCATGTACTACGGGCATAATATGTTACTTTTCTCAATGCATAAATTATCTACTCTTATTACTCAGGTATAAACACAACACAAATACACAAGCAAAGGTGAATTGGGCTTTGTATTCCAATTACGTGGCAAATTGCAATAATTAATGGTGAATGAAGTCTCTATGCTACCCTGAGTAGCTTCGTTAAAACTAAAACTACCATTTTCCTATATGCTTGGTTTTTTCCTATTGTTTCAGTAAGTAGTATTCTTCCTCTCTCTACTCAATACATTTGCTTTGCACTAACAAAAAGTAGCTGTGTCCCAGTATAAAAATACTTGCATTTCTGCAAGGTGATTGTAAAGGTTACCTAGCTACATTTAGTTAAAATATGATTTGGAGATTTATTATGAAAAAAAAACAAACCAAAATAAATGTGGAAGTTGCCTGAAATACTGTAACAAGCTACTTACTTCTACAGAACTGACACACATATTAATATACAGAAATTACTGAATGAAAGGGTCCTGCTCTATTAACATCTTCTCCAAACGTACATGGTTTTATTTTACATACTTATGAAAATTGTTATCATGAACGTTATCTAAATTTGTAAAGGTATCTGATAACAAATTACACAGTCAGTCACAGAATCAAAACCTTCCATTGTGTACTGTTTAAAAGAGAAAGCTGTTCTAGGTAATATTAAGCTTTAAGCATTAATATTCAGCTTGGGTTTTACAAAAAGTACATGCAATAGTGATGTGATAATGAACTTACCATAGTTGTCTCAAGACATATGAAAGATGTCTCTGATGCCTCACTAAATTTTATTCATTATTTAAACTGCTTGAAAAGATATAATTTAAGTGTTTAGAACTATTATTCTGTCTGGCAGAAGACAACCTTACACTGCTTTCACAATACTTATATGGGACATAAGAGCTCTCAGTGTCTTATCTGGATACCTGGTAAGAAAGGAAATTCTCAGGCTGTGGAAGATTACAAATTAATTTATGAAACCTAGCTAATTTCAGTATCCTCCTGTCAGAAAGAAGACTGACTTTGTAAGCATGACATCAAATTTACTTCAAACATATGGCTAGACTAATATTAGCACTAAAAGTCCATTACAATTTTAACATGATCATAGCTGACTACTTAAAGTTTATCAAGCAATCTATTGTGTAATGTTTACTGTGTAATATTTTAACATCTAAAAATACAATGAAGTTCAAGATAAAGTGTTGAATTAATTTAAACCACAAGAGATGATTTCTCACCTCCAAAATACTATTTACTACTGATTTTTAATATGGGGGGGTGTAGTTTTGTAACTTTGATGTATGACAAGATACAAACTTTTCCCATAGTTAACGGAAGCAACAGCTAGGATTCAGTTTACAGCTTGCTGCTATAAGCAGCCTAGTGACAGCTTAGTAGGTAGCACTGAAGACTTCAGAGATGAAGACTTCTGTTAGAAAATGTCCTGAAGTGTTTTTTCTTTAGTTAGCAACATGACTAAAGCAAAGGTATCACATTAATCATCTGTCCTGTAGAAATCTTACTTACCCTGCAGTATGTTATTGAAGTGGACTTTGCTACAGTTAATGGGATGGAAACAGAAAATAAAGCTACTACTAAGGCACAAGGATGGAGGAAAAACTGGTAAAACTGAAGAGCTGAAGATGACAGGAATTATCAGTCTCTTCAAGTTAGATACCTGGTTTTAATACTGCGAAGGTCACTTTGGCTCTTGTCCTTGCTAAGGTCATTGTGATAAGATAAAGCTGACAATGAATTCCTCTTACAGGTTTATGAACATAGAAAATCTAAATAACACTAATGAAAATGTCCTTTAAACTTCAGTTACATAGGGAAAACAGTATCACAGTCAGTTTTCTCATTTAGCAATTTGTCTGTTGGACAACTGTGAATATTACAGAAATAAACACATATTACACAACTGATTCCTCATGATTTTTTTTTTTGGAAAATTAATATCATTTTGAAAATTATTCTCATAATTACAGAGCTGTATATAAAATTAAGTATATAATACTGTCTGTAAAATGACTAGCATGAATGACATTTTAATGGAGTCTTCCAAAAGCAATCCTACAGCATTTAATCTAAACTGAAAATTTAAACGAGTCCATATTTCTCCATCTGTAAACTAATATTTAAAAACTGTTCTACAACTTGTGCATTTAAATAGACTTTTTTGACTTGGGAGTTTCAAAATTCTCCAGAGCAAATCGTCAGGACGGGTGACCAGGGATCCCTATATTTATTAAACTGAATGACCTGACAGTAAAACTCAGTTAAGGCTCTTGGCATTGGTGAAACTTCTTCCCACTCAGACCTACTACTGTGGTAGACTTGAACTTCATCTGTGATTTCTTCTGGAGCATAATCACCACCTAGTATATAAATTTTGTCTTCTGTCCCAACTGCCCCTGCATTAAAGCCAGCGCATTCAAAAGATCCTTCCCCTTTCCAAACACAGGTTTCTGGGCAAAAACTGTAAACCTTGTAGGTGGAGAGATCACATATGTACAATGTACAGTTCACTGGAACAGCTTTGATTAAAGTTGCATGGAAAAACTGCCCAAATTCTGCTACAAGCTCAGACCACTGATCAGTCATAGCATTATACTTAAAGAAACAGTCAAGGGATGGATTAAAAGCATCAGTAATCTCTACTTCTGAGCCAAGAACATAAATTATATTCTGGCATGCACTTGCTTCTGGATAGTAGATACCTCTTGGTAACTGGCTTACAGATTTCCAGTCTTTGGAAAGAGGGTTGTAAGATTCTACATCCAAAAGACTCCGAGTTTCTTGAGCTCCTCTGGTCTTTCCACCTATTACAAAGAGCTGATTTAAGGTTACAACAGATGTGTGCATTGTCCTCGGTTTTTTCATAGCTGACACTATGGCAAATTCATTGCTGACTGGACAGTAGCACCAGGTTTGGTCGGTGGCATCATGAAACGGTTCAGCAATGTGAAGCCTGACAGTCCTATAACAATTACCCTTGCATCCTCCAGTTATAAATATTTTTTCTCCATAGCTAGACAAACTTGACCCTGGCAGATCAATCATGTGCGTATGTGGTAGTTCTTTCCATTTATCTGTTTTGATGTTGTAGCAGAATGTATGTCTGTTTTCTCCATCTTCATCAGTTTTATGAACAAATATATATTTTTCTGTTGTTGAAGGACGTGCATCTGGAAACAATCCACTGAAGTTCTGCACACTTTTAACTGCATCGTTGATTATTACTGAGCAGTTAGCACTCTTAAGTAAGTGTTCTTCAGAATGAAGAAAATCCTGCAAAGTCTTTTCAGGTAACTGGTGTAATCTCACTTTTTTAATCAAATTAGGGAGGTATTTCTGCCGTGTTTCTAAGTTGTGTTTGGTCCATTGGAGCACAGCTTTCAACACTGATTCTTCCTCAGGGACATCTAGTTCATCAGCCTCGAGACATTTTTGTAGTATCTCAAAATTCATCTCCAAGAAGTCACTTGATCTGAGCAGCAATGAAAAATGGTGTTGTACAAAATCTAGTGCATGATCAAACAAGCGGACAGACCCGTAACTTTCTGATAGAGAAAGCAACTGTAAGCAATTCACAAGATCAATACTTTTTATTAGGAAGTCACTGCAAGCTTTGGAAAGGAGTGAAACTTGAAGAAATGATGACAGTTGGAAGAGCATTTCCACATTATCATTGGTTATCTCCGTTTTTCCTGTGTAAGCATAATCAAGAAAAGCTTTCACTGCCTTGGGTGATAGATTACTAATAGTAACATTGCCATCATCCCGTTCTTTCATATTAACTTCAAACATGGCTCTGTAAATAGAATACAGAAGATATACACACACCAATTAAAAGATTTAGCAAACAGATGAGAACACTGATGTGGAATGAGACAATTAGGGGCACAAAATAATGCGGGCAGGTCTAAAATAGGTCTAAAATGTGGAGGTTCTTCTATGAACAATGAATTTACTTGGTGTGTTTGAAGAAAAAAAATTATTTGTGATAAGAACATACTCAAAGTGATGGCTTAACAAAATCATAGCAGCATCTCTGTTTTGTATGGATTTTCACAGTGATAAAGTATGCAGCTCTCAGCTGAGAGAAAATGTGAAATTTTCCCGGACAGCATCAGTTTCCACTTCGAGAAAGAATGCCTGATTTAAAAAACTACATAGCAAAAAAGCCCCATGAGTTAGGTCGTGCAATGTGGATGAGTACCTACAATTATGTGGGAAAAACACCCCTTCCAAACTGCAGGCTGAGCAAATGGCCAGAGAGATGATGGGTGTAGTCCTCAGAAATAAAAGTAGGTGAGGGGTAAATGAGAAGAAAAAACACAAAGAAACTTAACTCTTGCTTTAGTGTTGACAGAGAGATGTATGAGTGCAGGCCAATGTCAGAGAAAAAATGAGATTTTAATATGACTGCATGACACAATGAAACTCTGCAGAAAGGAGATTGTGACTGAACACAAAGATCACGGTTGAAATTGTGGAATGAACTATTGACCAGGAGATTTGTGGAAATTTTATTACAACTTTAACTGCTTTATTCTAACTATGTAATAACATTTAACTCTTTCACACAATCTCACATGGCAAGGTAAAATAATTAAAGTTTAACAATTGGGTAAGTGCTAGCAACAAAACAGTGCTGCAATATCTCTTGCCCTACCCTCCCAGAGATTAAGCCTCAAACTGGGATAGCAGTGGCTTCTGAATAGGACACAAGATAATAGTGGAGGAAGAGTTGGATAAATCATCAAATGCAAAGTAGAGAATCTGGATATTAATACATCATAGTTAATTAATATTAAAACACAAGTGTTATATCATTTCAGTTATACGCTTAGTATCTCTGTTGTATGGGATTTTTAAAATCTCATTCTTTTCTGAAGCCAAAGAGGACAAAAAAAACATCCCTGTGTATAGCAAATACTCCTTGGGATATGAACATCTGGTAAAGCAGGAACTTGTCTGACTTACCGAACAAGAACATAAAATTACAATAAGACACCTGCATCCCAAAGACCTCTTTGCATACTAAGTGATGACCCTTACAATCCTCTCCTCATTAACCCATGAGCTATGAAATCTCTAATTAGGGAGTAAAATAGCAACTGAACAATACTAGTAGAAGAAGAGCAATGTAGGCAAAGGCTTTGATTCTGAAAGCTAACAAGCGAGGATCAAAATGTTGCTGATTCTTAGGTTTACACAACGAAGCCAAAACTAAGAGAAGTCCAAAGGCCAAGGAAGACAAAAGGTGTTCCATTTCAAAATGTATGTAGTGGACCTAGGGACTTTTTATTCCTTGAAGGTAAAAAATGGGCCTTGCATTGCAGGACAACTTATGAACCTGATGGCTGCTATTATCCATCATATCAACCATTAGGAGCAGGGAGAGATCTCTCCTGGCAGATTTTAATTTGAAGAGTCTGTAAGTAATGAAAAGGACATATGTTTCCATGTGCTTAGCTTCAGTTCTAAAAATTACCAATGGAAGCTATTTCATCCTAGTGTTTCTTTCCACCAGATCATCTCAGTGTTGTAAATCAGTTAAAGACAAATGAAAGTAGTCCTGTATGTTAGAGAAAAAAACAAATCTGCTCCTACAGTGGAGAAAGTGCTCATTTCATCTGTATTTCTTTTTTTCAGTAATTCTTAGAACACATCTAGCTATCTTCTGTCATACATGGCAGACTCACTTAGACCATGGGATGTTCCAGGACATTTGAAAATAACACTAACCTATGTACAGGCAACCCAATTTCTGAGAGTCCATTTTTTCATTGTTAGATCTTAGCTTTGTTTTTAGTAAAGGGTGTTCAGAAACATTTTCAGTGTGGAACTGAAAGTGTGAACCTTTCTAATAAAAAGGTTAGCAAGGCTTATTTATAAATTAATATTCTATATGTGAATGAAGGCTGTCCCTTACGAATACATAGCTTTAAGCACAAGAAGGAAGATCCATTTCATGCTGAAAGGCTGAAATCTGTAGTTTAGGAAAAGTATGCGTATCTGTTTAAATACCTCTGAAGACAATTTCTACTATACTGACCACTCTTCTTGGACAAACAAAAACCAGTTCCATTCCAAAGTTATGTACAATTTATCCCCACTTGCTCAGTACAAGATGTATTTGTAATCAATCGTTTCACAGTATAAATGTGTCAAAGTACATAGACTATCATGAAAAGTCAAACAATATCCTTGCAGACCTTCAAGTACTGATACAGGCAACAGGTAACTCTTAAACAAATATAACCTGTGTCAGTTCAACCTAACAGCAGAACCACACATTTATGATTTGGAACTTCTATTACAGAGTTTCGACTGCTGTAGGAATCTGATTCATAGAGTCCTCATAGCTTTCTGAAAATACAAAGAGCCTTATCTGGCATACCACTAAAATGATGTTTGAATGCTGTGCTCAAAATTCTGCGGATATATATAAATTGTGATACTTTTTGGGGGGTTTTTTGGGTTTTTTTTTTGTTTGTTTGTTTTGTTTTTTTTAATTCGTTTTTTTTTTGGTTTTTTGTTTGTTTGTTTGGTTGGTTGGTTTTGTTTTTGTTTTTGTTTTTGTTTTTTTTATTCTATTCCCTCCCTCCCAGGGAACTTAGAATGTATTTCCTGCAAACTCATACCAAAATTAGGTTTACCTGAAAAAATCACTGCATGCTGCCAGTACGCAACGATGACAAGGAATTATTTCATCTTTCACACGAATTTTAAAATCAAAAAATATATTTTGTTCTCTGAACTTTTGTAGTACTTTTAGAATTTGTTGTCCATGACCTTCAGCCACTAAGGAATTGATTTTATTTTCAGGAACAGAAATTCCATTGCAAATAGGTCTGCTAATGTAATCCCGTTGATTTGCCATGCTTTCTTCAATCTATTCCTGAAATGGAAAAATAAGTAATTGATTCCACAGTCTTATTATTATCAACAAAAACCAAACAAAATCAATACACCATAAAACAAAGAAAGAAGTTCCCAGCATTGAATTTAGTTTATATATCATATGCACAGTTAGAAATTTGTGTTACAATTGACTTTTACACTGAATTTGATAATACTACTACTTTGTAAAATATATTCACACAGCAAATTTTGTGAAGTAGATTATCTGCCATATATCAGAGAACAATTCTACAGATAATACCCACCTGTAAGAATTTTTTTAATAAAGTCAACAGGAAGCATATCAAGGAGAGTGTTTAACTGTCATTTTAAGAGAAAGACTAGTCCTAGGCTTACCCTCAAAAACCCGCAAATTCTTACAATTTTATTTAAAATTAAGGTGGAAAAAGAAAACTTCGTTACATGTTTTATATTCCGAAAGGCTGATCACTCTACATCTTGTAGTGGAAGGGAGACACAGGCTATCAGACTGCATCCTAAGTGGATTCCCATGAGGCACTCTGGACTTCGATAATGGAATACAAACAACACCAAGAGCCTGGCTGAATAACAGGATTGCTGGGGCTTACCAAACAGGGTCATTTAGAGACAGTTTGGTGAGAGTACACCTTTGAGCGCTTAGTCAATTGAAACTCATTTTGTCATGTACCTCTAGTCTTGTTAGAATACTTTGTGTTTGCCCACTCTAAGTTTCATTTACAGTGGCATAAATTAACTGGCTTTAGAATACATTTAAATTTAAGACCATCTCCCTTTCAACAGCCAAGTTTTCTTCCTGGTGAAAATCCCTACACTAAAGTGTGGTTTTTTCTATGGTAAATTGGTTTGAACTGTTTTTTTTACAAAGAAAATATTTTATCCCACTTTGTCAATATAAAGAAACTTTAAACATTAGTATATTTTATTTATACCTATTTAAAGAGCTATTTATATATTGCAGATGCCTAAACTGCCCTTACTGCAAATCTGAGTCAAGACTGCCTATTTCAAAGCTTAAAGAATCATTCCAATTTTTTTTTATTCCAGGATTTTGCTTCCACAATTCCAGTTAAAATCAGCAACAGATAATGGCCCACCTGAATTGACAGGGGACAAAATATTCCAAACAAAACCCAGAAGCAAGAAAATACTGGTTTTGGTTTTCAATTTTCCGAAAAGGTTCATCTGATGACACAATATATTCACAGCACACTAAACCATCAGGCATGTGAGGTACTTTCACAGCAGACTGATCTATACTTTATCTAGTCAGGTATCTCCAACCACAAATAGACCTCCATGTCTCCTGGAAGAGAAGAGATCCAGTGATCTTGCTGCCAGCACTGGCACCCTTGGAGCAGGCATCTTCTCCTTCCCATGGTCAGACAATCTCAACGTATTCACTCTTTCCATTCTAAGCCTGAGGAACTAGGAAAATACAGAAGACAAGACCACCATTTATTCTGATAATGTATGGCCTCAAAAACCCCAGCTTCCATAAATCATGAAACCTTTTCGTATGTCAGAATTCTCTAGAATACCCATTTCTTATGAATTTAAAAGCCTGCTCCTCAAAAGGCTGAATCTTCAAAAGCAGAGATACTTCAATAACATTAATTTCCCACATTTGAATGAAACTTTTTTTAAAAAGTAAGTGAATTTCAAAGTTTTTTTAGCATCACATAAAATAACACTTCTTCTAAAAGAAACATAAACCTTTCTGCAAAATTCTGGAACTTACAATTGATACTAGACATCTTTCTCCACTTAATGTAATTTCTATAGCAAGCTCCAACCTACAACGTGCTTTCTTATGATAAAATTACCAATTTCAGTAATATTCGTATGTGTATTATGAACATGGAAACATCTACAGTAATCGTCTAACTATGCTATTTTAGGCAAGACATCATATGACCACTTTCACACAAGCAATCAATGTTTCAGAAAGTTTTCTTTTACCACACTATTACCACAAAAACTCTATTCCAGTACATTGCTATAGAGACTCTTAATTACACATCAATTTATTAATGCTTACATATATTTGTTCTTTTTTTAAAATTGTTATTGACTTAATTTTCCTTTGTATATTTATTAATTTGTACAATTATCAAGAGTGTTGATATCCTCTCTCAACTTTCATTAGAATTAATAATTGTCAAACTTTCCAAAGTCCACTTATAAGGCTGAGTTTCTGGTTTTCCTTATTATTGCTTGCAGTTTTCTCTTTATTCCAGTTTGATCCTAAATTTCTCTCCCTGATACAAGATTTGTTGTACAACATTATGGTTCAGACCTCATCACTGTCTCACTACACCAATTTCCAAGTCATCTAGTGCATCCTAATCCTTATCTCTAATAGCAGTATCTCATTATTTTCTTAAAAGCAAAATTCAGCAGTGTATCTTTAATGTTTTTGTCCACAATTAAGGAATGTAGTAATGAACACTGTGCAATGACTTAGACTAATTCACTCTTCTGTCCATTAAAAAATACATATTAATAAATTCAATTTCCAGCTGTCTTGTAGTCAATTCCTGACTTACTTTATAATTTTGGTATTAACATACCACTTCACTGAATCTGTTGATGATTTTAGAGCCCTCCAAACTCTTTTAACAATTCAGCTAAAACTTGGTATGTTAAACAAGGCATTTATAATTATTTCATGCATTCTCCTACAAAGCCATATTAATTATCAGTAGGAGTTTTTATAAATGTTTGATCAACTGTGACAAAAGGATGAGAAACATAGGGGGTGCAGATATATATTGAAGAGGTCTGCAGCTCAGGAATTTGCTTCATAAACTCCCACAGGATTCCAATTACAAAGCCTGTCTTCATGTGGATTACCAAGAACCAAGTAAATGGTTCATTAGAACTGGGATCTCTTACTCTTGCTTTTTAAGACACGTCTGTGTGCTGCTCAACAACCAGCCTTGCAGCCTCTCCTGGAACATGACACAAGTACTGCTGTACGTGATCCAATCTCTCAGCACTTGACAAAACCTCCCTGCTCCTGTACTGGACCTTTACAGTCTTACACTGGCAAATGCCACCTTAGCTATTAGCCTGCTTTTCTAAAAAAACCCCCAAAAAACAACAAACCAACAATTGGTTGACAAAGACAACTGAAAATTGTTCCAAAACTAAACTCCCCTGAAGTTAAAGTTTAAATTTAAACATTTGCCCCGGCTTTATATTTATTGTAAGACACCTCAAACACAAGGCCAGTTGGCTGCTACAGTGAAAATTGATACAAACTTCACAATTATTAAGGTCAACCCCTTATAACACATGTATGAGGGACATATGTGTACCTCTCAAAACTATCTGTGCAGGTCTCCAGTTGAGGGGCCAGGCATTCTGCATGCCTGACAGTCAAGTGGCAAGCAATGGCCAGTCTGTGTAGGGCCACAGAGCAGCCAGCAGTTGGACAGGAGGCTGGGGATAGTAAGCTACTTTTGGTCATTATGGTGGATGAAATAAGGGTCTGCCTGGGATCTTGGAGGGTAAGAGCATTCTTATGGTCTGTCACAAAATCCAGTAATAAGGGCCCAGACCTCATGAGTTGTGCTGTTTATGAGACCCTCTGTCGTAGAAGCATGGAGTGGTTTGGGTTGGAAGGGCCATTAGGGATCACCTAGTTACAAGTCTTTGGCAGGTTTAACACTGTCCTTTTCCCAGGACACAAAGGGATGGAGCAGTCTAGAACATAACAAGCTCATTGACTCAGATGCCAGGTAGTCACACTGAGAACTCTGATAAGACCATAGTCAAAATATGCGATATACACACATTCCTCTTAGCATCTAAGCATTTGTAGAAAGCTACAAGAAAGTGTTTAACTGACCTTGATTCCATGCAAACAGCTGCCAAAACCTCACTGAATTTCTAGTAGAACTTTTCACTTCACCAATGCTAATGCTCCATTTCCAAAGATATATGGAGGATGTAACATATTTATGATTGGTTTTAGTTAGCATCATCAGCAATCCTTCTTAAGTGTTCTTATAATTCTGTACATAGAAGACACTGAAATGTGTAATTTATTTTCTTATACTTTTCCTTTGGGAAGCTCAAATGACCTTTATACATGAATTTTATAACCTGGATATATGTTGAATCCTAGATATTATACTAGGAGACTATAAACACAGCATACTGTTAAACTTATAAAGGAGACCAAAAGCATCCAGGACAGACATTTTCAAAACATTCAGGCCAACATTAAAATCATAACCACTGCAATAGACCTCCTAGAAACAACTTTCACATTCATTCCACCAGATCAGAAACAGTAAAGCAAACAGAACTGTGAAGTGACCTTAGAGCAGAGATGAACTTTTGTTTGTGCAGAATCTGTTGTAGTTCCTACCATAGCACTGATGGGAACATACTCACAAAATGCACGTATATTAATAAACATTTTTGCTGAAAAGATTTTGCTAAACCAACAGTCCAAATAGCCTTAGCTGCTACAACTAAATGGTTGGATAAATAAAATTGTTACAGAAGTTTAAATATGCAAATGAAGTTGAGAATGGTGGAAGATGTGCAATTATTTCTTGGTGAATAACCAAGGCAAAGATATCAAACTAGAGAGAGGATATGTAACAACAGTGAAGCATGAACACCTAAATGAGGGTCCAGTAAGACAGTGGCAAAGACACCAAACTGTTTGATCACTTCATAATAGTGAGATAAAAATATACATACAAATATGTGTGACTTTGAAATAGCCTAGGGAATTCTGTTTTGTGGAAGCACTGAGCACAGATAAGTATCACACATAGCTGACCTCATACTTTGCCAGGAAAAGCCCCTTAGGGCTGTGTCTGCCTGACAACAAACAGGACCAAACCCTGGGAATGGGACTGAGGCTCCAGACTGTACCCAGCACAAGGAAGTGGCCATTCAGGAATTACAAATAACACTGTGCAGGTAGGCATTCTCTCCTTTTCCATCAAAGCTGGCAAACCCAGTCTAAACTCAACCCTGATTTGGTACTTTATTATTTATAACCAATTGTAAAACAATCTATCTGCTTTTATCTGAAAGCACAATACAGCTGGGCTACAGCACTCACCAATTTAAAAAAATTAAATCTTCGTACTTCATAGCAGGTAACTTATGAGAAATAAATTGTTCTTCAGTGGAACATTATGTTTATTACATGGCCTTCTCCCAGCTTGGATAGTATGTCTTACTAGGGACCAGGATTTTAAAAAAGGGAAATCTAAGAGCTGGTATTTTGTAGAATAATTTATGTACCTAGGATGAAAGAATTAAGCACAGCGAAGATGAAGAAATTCTATAGATTTATCTAGAGAATTTTCAAGGGGTCTTTTCCTTACAAAATTTAACAGTTCATTAATATATGTTTTGAAAAGGTCAAAATCAGCATTCTAAGATGTAATATTAAAAGTATTATATTATTGAGTCTACTATATATCCATCAAGATGATTTGCTATTTTCATTCCTGTCCATTCAAAAGGAAACAAATGACTTGTTAATAAGTTTCAAAGACACCTCTCTACACTATGCATATAATTTAACATTCACTGAGATGAGTATGAGTGGAACACTTATCTGTAGGATTTGGTGACACTTCTAATTACTGATCAAAAAGACAAGAGTGGTTTAAAGTGTAATTAAACTATAAATACTGAGTACAAGTTCTGTGCTTTCATATTCCATTAATGTGTTGATTGTCACTGATTGTCTAAGATTGAAAAACCTAAGAGAATTCCAGGTTCCTGCCTGGAAATTTCAATGCAACTTAGTCTCACTGAGTCTCATAAATAACTGAACTTCAAAGAAAAATAATATTCAGTCAATCATTTTAGCAAGCAAAAAAAAAAAAAAAAAAGCACAGGATATTTTGAGACATTTAATCCACAAAAATGACATTTATCAATAATAAATGTTGGGATAGTATTCTCAGATTGAAAGGTGACACGGAGACTTTAAAGCTTTGTGTTCCTTAGAAGTGATAAAAAAAAAATCAACATGGAAAAAACCCCAGCATGGTACCAGTAGGACGTAAGGAAATCGCAGTAATTCCTGGAGGCATTCCAAAAGTGGAAGATTCCCACTCTGCAAGCAGTGATCATTAAATGCATGTTCCCTGATAAACACATGAACCCATTAAGATAAAGCAGTAATCACTTAAAAGAAGTACAACTGGCTGGATTTTATCCTAAAATTAAATTTCTCCAATTCATCAAGTTACTTGGAAAATTATTTTCTTAGCCAAAACGATCAAGAACTGTAATCTTAATTTTCAGAAAAAATGGAATTAGACTGTACGTCTAATTCTGCTGAAAATAACTGCAAATTCTGTAAAAGAAAATGACAGCTTTTAATGGCTTCTGTAGGCTGTCACTTTTGCATGTGATTAAAATGTGGTTTTTCTCAAAAGATGCATGCAATATTGAGCATCTTTAGAGAATAATGTAGCATGCCTTATTATAATAGCATGTTTTACTTAAAAGTGTGGGTTTATATTGAATACATCATAATTACATTACATATCATACAATGCATCTTGAGCTTCCGTTTGGATTTACACACAAAGTTTATTTTTTGAACAAAAATTAATCCACTAGTGAAAACAGTGCTACATGTTTAAATCTCCTAAGTAGAGAGCATGGGCAAGCTAAACCTATCAATCAATCCAGAGGGGTTTTTTTGGAACGAGGTAAGATCCACAACCCATTAGTATTATCAGCAACTAAATATACAAAATGCCACAATTATCTCTTCGAAGTGCATAGAATACAAAGCTTGAAATGTAAGTCTCAGCTACAGTTTGACATTGGTGAAGAACAATTTCCTGGGATTTTTTTCTTGACTGTATTAAATCCTCCTCTGCTGTCAGTTAACTTTGTCTAGGGGTTTGGATAATGCAAAACATTATGCCATTCCTTGCTTTGTTAAATCATGAAGAAAATTAGGAATAATATTTTGAAATCAGTCAAATACCCAACTGATTCCTTGATGAAACATTTTTTTATTCAATGTTACTTCTGTGTTTAAAATATTTTGCGAAGACCAATCTATATTCAGCTATAACTGAGACTTAACCAGGACAGAAAGACCTTCTGGCCTGTGCAGAAACAGCAGTTTTCCATATTAACAGTGAGCTAGCAACAGTGAACAACAAAAAAGGAGGACTGTAACAAATACCTGCAATAATACAATTTTCAGCATTTTTTCATCATTTGTACATGGTCCATAAAGGACGGATGAAGTGTAAGTCTTTCTGAAGACAAGCAACAGAAAAGTTGTAAATTTTCAAATAGGCCCCAGTTTTTAGCTATGGTTCAACTCCAGAACCAAAGGGCAAACAATTTATTATCTTTTGAGGATTTACAGATGGCCTATAATTGAGAATACAGTTGACAACCATTGGAATCCTTAACAGAACAATGAGCACGGGATACAAGAGGCTTTTGTCTGCACAGATCCTTAGGAGCCAGAACCCCGCTAGGGTGATGCAGCGCGCTGCACCCGCTCTGGGGACAACCAGCTCCTCTTTCTAGTCAATAAAAGCTAAACAGAGCCCAGCCCAGCCAGGGGCGCGGACAGCTCTCCAGCGGGAGGGATGCGCTGGCGGCGGCATGTCCCTCAGCAGAGACGGGCCGCGCATCACCTGTGCGCCACGGGGAGCACTGCCGCTCCGAACCACCTCCCCCGGACCCCCCTCGAGGGCAGAAACTGTGCCGCACAGGGGCGAGGGAGGCAGAAATTAGCGGGCAACCACGTTCCTTGCGCCACGGCCAGGGCTATCGGCCGCCGCAGCCCCGCCAGCCCCGGCCCCGCAGCAGCGGCCCCTTATCTCTGGGGGAGGGCGGCGCCGTGCGCGCCCCTACTGCGCATGCTCAGGCCGCCCGCGCCTGCGCCCGGCGGCGGCTCCGTTCATTCTAAGGGAGCGCTAATTCTGACAGGGCGGGCGGGATGGGGCAAAGGGATCCCATTCTCTCACAGCGCGACCCGGCCGCGGCATGCGGCGCTCCCCGACACTGCCGCCCTTCCGCAGGCGGCGAGGCGCCAGTCCCCCCTGAGCGCTCCCTCCGAGCAGCGCACACCCACCTGCAGCCAACACCCGCAGCTCACCAACCGGTCTGGCCCACCCTCCGCAGCAGCCGCGCCGGCGGATTGGCTCCTTCCGGAGTCATTCTCCTGCTCTTTGCGCGCGGAATGGCTGCGCCGGCCGCCACTCCAGGTGCGAGCCCGCCCACCTGCCCTCGCTGACGGCACCGCGGGCGCAGCTCCGCCGCAGGCACCGCCTTTCCCCTGATAGGTCGCTACCTGGCGCATCCCGCTGTCACTCACAGGGCGCTGCGACAGCGGGTTGGTTAGCGCTCTTGAGGGCGGGGCTCTTCGTGCTTCCCGCACGGCGATAGGCTCCCGCCAGGGCTGAGGGGGCGGGCGGTGGCGGGCGGCGCAGGGAGCGGGGCCATGGGCAGCGTGCGCTGGGCCTTCCCCTGCGGCGCATGGCGGCCCCGGCGCCGCGAGTGGCTGCTGGCCGCGCAGCTGGTGCAGCCCGAGGAGAAGGAGCGCATCGGCCAGTTTGTCTTTGCCCGAGATGCCAAAGCCGCCTTGGTACACGGGGAGCCGGGGCGCGGTTGTCTCTGTGCGCAGTCAGCCTTGCCCAAATTCCTGATTTGTCGTAGGAAAACGTGCCGTGCGAGGCATTTCGGGGATGTAAAGCTGAAGGATAAGATTTGTATAAAAGTATGAAGCTCTGCCGCACTGAGGAGCCAGGAGGGAAGGCAGGCTGCTGTCAGTAGTTACTCTGAAAGACTTCACCGCTTCTAAGTCGTGATATCAAGTCAGGAGACAAAATCAGCGTACCCTGAGGGACTCTGCATAGGGCATCGGGGTAACCACCACGAGAATAAAGCTGTTTTACAAGATCCGGGTGTTAAATCTCGCCTAATAACAGCAATACACGCCTGCTCATTAGTCTGGAAGGAATTATCACTTTTAGCTGTTGAGTATTTAATTTAGTACCTAGGTAGTGAGTAGATGTACTGAAAGGAAGGCTATGGAGATAATTTTACTGCTCAGGGTGGTGTAAAACGTATTTGTCCCATAAAGTATTGTAAATAAGTTATTAAGGTAGAGAAAGGAACTACTGTGTTTTCTCAGTAGTAAGCTGGGACTTTTGTTAATTGTGCTACTAGTGATAATGTATTTGATGGACTCTTCTGCTTAAACTTACTTGACAGAGCTTTTATGAAAGGGAGACATTTAAGTTATTTGGCTAAAACACACACGACATTACTGTTGATATCAACAGTAATAAACCATCATTTTTTAGGCAGGTGGTTTTCTAGCAGCCACATAGCGCAATAACTCTGTATGAATTACTTGTTTTATCTCACAGGCTGGTCGCCTGCTGATGCGGAAATTAATTGCAGAGGAGCTGTGCATACCTTGGAATGAAGTACACTTGCAAAGGACACCAAAAGGAAAGCCTTTCCTGGCCAGTAACTTAGTTGGTATCAACTCAAATTACAACTTCAATGTCTCTCATCAAGGAGATTATGCAGTCCTTGCAGCTGAGCCTGAGCTTCAAGTTGGCATTGATGTTATGAAGACTGATTTACCAGGTAATTCTTTATAGTGACTGAAGCAGGTTCTGCAGTGTTTGAGTACTGAACATTTTCACATTTCCCAAAGAACCAATCTGTGTCCTAGAAATTTAGTGTAATTAGCAGAGAGTGTATGAATGTACTGTGTATTTGGGATTTCTAGCTGTTAAATGCACTACTCGTTTATTTTGAGGTGCATTGTAGGACAGATACAGCCATGTATCCCTCATTTAGAGAAGCAGAACTGTGGGAAAATAAGATCATGAATTCTTCTATCATATGGGCACTACCAGCATCTGCAGATACTTGAATTATGGATTTGCTGTGTGTGAGGCAGACGGCGGGGGTGCATCTTTCCAAACAGGGACAATGGGATCTGTCCCCATGAGAACTTCATACACTGTGTTACTCACTTGTCCCATATGTATGGACATGTTATGTGTCAGCCAACTGGCAACACATATTTGCTATGAATGTTCAGTAATCCTCAGTGAGAGGGGATCCTGAGGAGGGAACTCATGAGGTGCTCTTGGGAAAAGACTGGACTTCACAAACTTTGGTTACTGGCCTACTTATTTGTGTGACATGACTGTATAGGTTATTGAACTTCAGGATCAAAATTAGGATTGTAGCAAAGTGTATTTTTAAATACAGTTTTATGGAGATGATTTATTTTGCAAATGTTCATTAGTGCATAGTCATGGGTTAAAGGAGAGACCTAGTGGGATTTATGATGCACTTGAATTTTGCTTTTTTTAGAATCTTCCTTAAACATTTAACCAGATATGACAGTAGTAATTGTGTTCTTAGAGAATCTTTCTTTGCAGTTTCTGGAGTTGCCCAGCATTTTATGCTGCAAAATACGTTGTGTTGTAAGGGAGAGATTCAGGTAAACCCTGACTGGATAACTTTCCGTCTGATCGCTTTATACCTTTTTAATGATGACTACAAGCGTACAGTTTTGGATTGTCACATTTAGCTAGGATGCAAAGAAGCTTTGCTGCAATCTGAAGTTCTTTCCTGTGACTCACACCTACCGTAGACTCTCAGTCTGAGCATGGTCAGCATGTGAGGCCACAGGACAGCCTTTGGAGGGTCCTCCACCAGAGCTGTTGTGTGTTTTGTGACAGGAATTATGCCAGTGGGTGAGGCTGCTTTGGTACAGGGCCACACCAGACAGGACTGCAGTAACACAGGGCCCAAATAACCAGATTAAGCTTGAAGCTGGTGCTTTTATCATAGCGCTCTCAGGCAGAGCAAGCAAGGTGATGTCCTGGCTGTGTCTCCCCGCAGCATCTTGCACACCCTTGCACAGCCTGTTTGCTGGGAGAGCAGAGTTACAGAGAAGGCCTCGATGCTGTGCAAACGCTGCTGATTCCGGTGTGGTATCAACACTGGGTTCATAGACCTAAAACACAGCACTCCACAGGCTGCCATGGAAAAGGTAACTCCTGGACCCAGTATCCTTGGAAACACTCTGGGCTGCCACTGGCCTTACCGCAGGACTCAATTTTAATTCCTCATTCCAAAAAGTTTCTAGTTTCAGCCGGTAAATAGTGAAAATCAAAACATTTAAGCGCTTGTATATGAGGTTTTTCTTGGAAACCGCAAAATTCAAATTTATACAGAAAAATCGAAAAATTTATATGTGGAAATAGGGATATTTTACATCCTCTACTGGTAGTTTATGCAAGTGTAAATGTAGCTGGCATTTTAAAGGCATGTTGACAATGTCCAGCTGACAAGTTTTATGAAGCTTGTTAAACTTTATTTCTGACTGAGTAATACTTTGAAATCTGTTACAGACAGGCTTTAGTGGTTTTGGGAGATGCTGGTGAACAGTGAAAGATTACTCATATGTCTTCCTTTTTGTAATTATAATTTGTATTTTTGAAACAGAAATAAGATAGTAATGGAAATGTAATAATTATATGTGGGAAAGAGAGCCAGTAAATAAGTAATATTAAAGATAGAACTTCATATTACAGAGACTATAACTTAAAGCTGGCCATCTTTTCACCTGAAATTTTACTGAGGAAGATTTTTCTCTTAGTAGAATCACCTGCAACTCTTTTTTGTTGCTGGGCTATGAATAGGTAACACTGACTTTACTACTGACTTATTTTTTCTGATAGTTCCACTGAGTGGTGCTCTTGTTCTGCACTTGCTAAGTACATTATATTTCTGAAGGAAGATCTACAATAAATCTCTTTCCTTGGAACAGATACAGGACAAAGAGTTCTCTATGAACAAAGTACATTTCAGTAGGTTTGTTTGGTTATTTTCAAATGCTTATTTAAATACAAAGTTTTTAATCTTGTGATGTTATCCAACATCATCTTGATTGAGGTCTCTAGTATTGTAACTCTTATATTCCTTTATTGTTCAACCAGTGAGCATGCAAAATCTGCAGTGCAGATATAAAAGAGTATAATGCAGCTGAAAGTTTTGAGAAGTCTACTGTTTGTGTGCTGCTATGTAACAAAGAGCCCTGGTGCATGTAAACATTTTATGTCACTTCTTAATGCATCCTATGTATTTTGTTT